GAGAGAGAGAGAGAGAGAGAGAGAGAGAGAGAGAGAGAGAGAGAGAGAGAGATTTCCATCGACAGGATAAACAACACACCGGGCAACAGGTAAGTCTCCAACCCCGCGCCTGGCCCCACACTATTTCCATCGATAGGATGAGCAAAATCGAATGAATCAAGGCGAAGCGGCAGCAAGCACCACGAACGGCTGCGAGTGAGTGTTGGCAGGTGCGAGGCGAAGCCCACGACAGTGACAGCGGGCGGGCACGAGCCATTTGAAAGCACGCCGCGCCAGTTCCCACCACGACACCGACAGCAGGCGGGCAGCGGACCGGACCCTATGGCGGCAAGACGATCGCCAGGCCTCCCCAGGCCGCGCCTCTTCATAGGGCCGACGGTCGCCATTTTCATTTTAATTTTTTTTCCCCCGTCCTGGGCCTGCCACCCGAGGTCCCAAACCTGGAAACCGGGTCTCGCGCCGGCGTCACGTGAGACCCGGCTTTTCCTTGAGTAGTATGTTGATGTAGATATCTACTGTCCCTCTGCTGATGATGGCTGGCCCCGATCCCGGGTGTCTGCAACCCCCCATATGTAGTGGTCGTGAAAATGATTGTGGCAGTTATACAGTTGGAGAGGTGTCAAAAGGTCCACATTTACTACCTCTGCCATTGTCTTTGCTGTCCTGTCAACCTCCTCCCGTTCTCGTTGTTATGAGCCAAAAGGGTTGTCATTCAATCAGTTCTCCCAGCTTATAGTAATAATAGTATGATATGTGAGGATTGACCCCCACACAAGGCCATTCATACCTCCAAAGCCGAGAACAGACGGCCCCCCAGCAAGCCTCGTGCCCACCCTAAGTGAAGATGGGCCTGCATTCCAATTTGAGGCCTATTTTTGTCATTTCTGCACGAGGGCGCCAGACAGTTGCCATGCGCCAGTAGGTTACAAGGCCAACGCCAACGGGATCATGACATAGTGAGCCTCTGGGATCCTCAAGGCAGCGACGTGACCAGAGGCCTTTCGCCCAATAGAATTGACGCGAGTGATGCTGGCCATGTCGCACAATTGGGCCGCTTGACTGTTGTGGGCCCAGGCCACTGTCTGCATTGGGCCTGGGCGCAGACACTGTGGCTCGCAGCCAGGCTGCTGGGAACGTGGCCTCGAGGCCCAAAACAGGGCAGCACAGCAGTGCACTTTCCATATAGGAAAGTGCTGGGCTTATGGGAGACTCGTTCTGGCTCTGCTTGACCTTGCGGCCACGCTGATCACAGCGCGAGTGGGCTGCCAGGGAGCTGGCTGAGGGCGCACGTGGGCGCATAGTGGTGAGGGGTGCTGCTGGGCAGCGAGCGCGAGCGGCCATAGCCGGGCCTGCTTGCCAGGGGGCTGGTGTGGGCGATGGTGGTCTTCGGGTAGGAGGTGCACATGGTGGGTGAAGAAGGTGATGAGGTGAGAGAGGGAGAAGAGACACGACCTCATGTATGCGCCAGTCTGCATGGCAATTACGTCAAGTACACTTGTCTTCGGCTGCAAGTGCTTCCTGGTTGCATGTCGCAGTGCAGGCTAGTGAAGGTCTGAGTAGAGGTAGTCTGGGCGACGGGCATCAATCAAGAAGGGCGGCATTGGATACATTGTTGATGATGGCGAGAAGAGGCTCACATTGACATTTGAGTTCAGTGCATTGCTCGTATTTGGCTTGTATCTCAGTGCATTCATTCTGCTTTCTGCTTTGGACACGACTATCTGGTCTTCAGTCTGATATTGCAATTTGGTTTCTGTC